TCTATCCGGACGGCAATGGTTTACTATCTGCACGGTAATGATTTACTATGCGGCATGGCCATAGTCTACTACCCGCACGGCTTCCGGACGGCAAATGGTTTACTATCCGCACAGCAATAGTCTACTATCCGCACGGCAATGGTTTTCTATCCGGTGCCCTGGCTGTCGGTGAACCTCTGTGCAAAGGAGGGAGAATGAAGGGGGACTTTCGACTATCGTACCATTAACAATTTAATATAGATTAGTTAAGGTAATTGAATAGGTAGGTAGGATTATTTTTATTAAGCAATTTGAGATGCAGGCACCGCTAAGCTTTCTGATGAGAATTTTCTCTTTCTCCATTCCACGGGCTGTGTTTCAACAACAATCTCGAGGAAGACTGGCACCAGTTTTGGAGGACAACGTAGGAACCGGAAAGCATTCAACATTCTGCCTTTGTCGAATGGACGACGGTAAGTTTTTTTTTACATTTTAATCTCTTTATTATTTTCAAATATTATTTATTTGCCATTATTTCCATTTTATAATTTTTTGCTTCTAAGATTCTAACATTCATTTACTGCTACGCTAATGAAAATAACTTGTCTACAGAATGATGAGAGGTGGGCAGTGGTGGGAGTCAGCACGTTTCAGATGGTGGTCTCATGATGATTTACGTATGATGGTGTGGTGTAGGAAGAATCAGCTCGTTGGCTGTTCGACTGACGCTCAGAAGTTCGGATGAAATCTTGTGTGCCGATCTGAATGTGGTGGTCGGTGCGGTCGGTGCAATGGATTGAAGTAACGACGATTTTTGAAGTAAGGTTTAGTTTCGTTTTTTTTATTTTTCTCATTCATTCATTTTTTTCCTCAATCTTTCAAATTATTTTTCCATTGATTGACGTTAATTCGTTCTATTCATTCATTCATTCATTCATTCATTCATTCATTCATTCATTCTTTTAACTAATTATTTAATCATTCAGTTCATCATTTATTCGTTCGTTCCTTTGTTCCTTGATTTACTACTAAGCTAATAAAAATAACTTTTTACAGAATGATGAGAGGTGGGCTGTGGTGGGCGTCAGCACGTTTCACATGATGGTCTCATGATGATCGTTCCGATGACAATTTGAAGAAAACAACAACGACGATTTTAGAAGTATGGCTTAGTTTTTTTTTAATTTTTCTCATTCATTTTATCACTATCTTTCAAATTATTCATCCACTTTGATTCATTCTATTCATTCGTTAAATCATTCAATTCATCATTTATTCGTTCGTTCCTTTGTTCCTTGATTTACTACTAAGCTTACTTATCCTAAAACAGCATCTAGTATCACCTTTCAAAACATTTTAAATAAAAGCAATATTCCGAAATTAGTAAATAAACGATCGTAATTTTAGACTTGGGCGATAAAAAATCACCCTCCAATTCTCCTCCGCAAAAATGAGCGAAGGCCGTTATATTTATTCTAATTATATGTTACAAACAATCGTATTTTTGTTAAACTTAAACTAAAAATTTAGACAACAAAAAATGGTTACTGTCATTGGCAATAGCGTGCTATCGGCGCATTCCTCTCATCATATGGCAAAATAATAACTTGACAAACTTATGGTAGCAAAAGACATGAGTTTATTTTGCACACTGTCAGTGTGTGTATTTTACTAAACTATGAAATTAGTAGTGAATTTTTTTAGCAGTGAATTTAAAATTATTATAGAAAAAAACGTGTGAATGGCAGAAAAAGTTGTTGGCTTTTCATAAAATCTGCCCATAGCAACGATTTTAGACTATCTGACGTTACCCACGTTTTAGGAAATTAAAGGAAACCGGCGCTTCAAATTTGTCTGCAAAGTTGTTAATATTTTTTAAATTATTTTTGTAATGTCGGTTTCTATTTTTTATTTATTTATTTGAAAATTCAAAAATGTCGGTTTTTGAAAATGTCGTCGTAGATCTTAGCCCATTTTGGTCAGTTTTGTTCTGCATTGTTATTGGTTCCTCGTTTGTTCTCAGTCTGTATGTAGGCATTGATACAAAGTTGAAGTATGTTTTTTCTATTTTGTATTGTTTGTTTGTTCTTTTTTTATTGAAAGTAAAGATTTATTTTATTATTCTTTTAAAGTCTTTTTCAGCCAGAACTTTTTAAGATATAAAAAATATATACTTTTAAAATTTTTAAAGATATAGATAAGATATACTTATAATATAATATAAAATAAACTTTATAGTTTATATTAATTATTATTACTTTTTAAGCTTTATCCCTGTCAGTATCACTTATCAGCCTATTATATTTCTGAATTATAATTATTGCAATTATTCTTATCTAAAATCTAACCTATCATTTATAAAATAATAAATTTTAAACAAAATTTACAAGCTAAACTTTGATTATGTCATTTCTTTCATTTGATAATAAATTATTGTTCACACAGTTTACAGTTAAATTTGTTAATTATTATGCTTATTTGTTAACATTAAAATATAAATGAATAACATTTTTGCAGACGAGATGATCCAAAGACAGTTACTAATCGGTTCACGAGGGTGGCTTTCGTTTGCCTATTTTCATTGTTTCTGTTCAACTGTTGTTGCACAACAAACCAAGACGTATGTTTTCTAACTGTTCATTTTTTAATGTTCAGTTATTATGATCTGAGTTATTGAAAAATAGTATGTAACACTAAACTATATTTTTTTTCAAAGGGTAAAACTGTTTTTGAATTGCTTGGATTCACGTCAAAAGGCTTGATATGTGCTTTGATATTTCCACTTTTACATACAGTGGTATTTATTGATATATCATTATCCATTTTAAATTTATTTCTTCAATTAGATTTTATATTTAATTATTAATGGTATTTAATTATTCATCTCTTCCATAGCAAACCATATTTTTTTAGATACTTTTCTCAGGTCCTTTGCTACAGAACTATTACAATGGTGTCTTCTATTTTTATAAAAGTAATCTCTTCATGATTTTGTTAAAAATTGTTAATTTCCCAAAATATAATATTTCTTACCATTTTTAAAAACATGAATACCCTATATATAGGTTCATGGTATTGGAAAAGTTGCTTCAGAAATCATGTATGGCTAAGGAGTCACCTTGTGGTCTGCTGATAATCTAATTTATGTTTTTTTCTTATCTTATTTTATTTTTCACATTATTTCACTATTTTTTATTTTCACATGAATATTTCGTCAGTGTGTTTTTAAACCAATCTGTTGATAAAAATTTTTTATTTAGTATATTTTTTGGTATCTGGAAATTTAATAACTGATGTATGGATTGATATAAGATACTGATAAAATAATTATAATTGTAGTAAGTCATACAGGGAAGGGATAAAATTATGATTATTCTTCTAGGGACCGATATCAGAAGAAATTGTCTACAGAGCCTGCATGCTGCCCACTTTGATTCCAAACTTTGGAGTTGCAAAATCAATCGTGTTGAGTCCGTTGTTTTTTGGAATGGCTCATTTCCATCATGTTTTTGCTTTAGTTAAGGATGGCATGCCATTAAAGAGTGCCCTCATCAAAGCCTGTTTGTGTATTTTTTCTTTTTAACTTAGTCATTTAGTTTATAAATTTTCCTTATTCCTCATGATGTCATGTGGTGCAACATGTTTGAAAAGGATCTAGAATTAGTATTTTTGCAATGTGATGTAAAATTGGGAATGGCATAAAATGTTTTTAATCTAATTTCATCTGAACGGGGTTTTCGTGTTAACTCATTTTTTTAAGACACTTAGGTGTACAGATGTTCTGATGAATGAAAAGATATTAATGGGTTATGTGTTATAAATGATACTTGCTTTGCTATGTTATATATATATTTATATATATTTATATATATATAATGTATATATATCGCAACATTGCCTAAAGAGACACGCTTTATATTTTTTAAACATAATTTTTTTCCATATCCCAACTCAAAGGTTTTCAGTTTACCTATACAACATTGTTTGGTATATATTCAGCCTTTGTATTTGTCAGGACAGGTGATACGTTTGACGAATTTATTGGATTTAATTATTTTTTATAACAGATTTTTTCAACTATGATTGACTTCTATGTGTTTCATTCGTATTTTTAATTTCAGTGTATATAAAGTTAGAATTTTGATTAAATTATTGTACAGCTCTAACTAGAAGTTTTATAAAAATTAATTTCTCACTAGAAGCTCTAACTAGAAGTTGATTAAAATTAATTTTTTACTTATAAACAGGAAGCATACTGCCTTGCATACTGTCGCACATGTTCTGCAACCATATGGGCTTTCCCAACTTTATAGAAGTTCTACAATGCCAGGATCAAAGCATGAAATCAAAAATCATCTTCTTCTACGTAGTGGGACTCGTCTTATTCTTCATTCTTCTCGTGCCTTTAACTAAACCTTCCTTATATGAATGATTATTATTGTTTAAAAATGATTTTAGGATTTGTAAATGTATGGTAATGATATAATTACTCTGTTTGTTTTTGTATTTAACGTATTTTTTTTATTTATACTATTTAATTCGTCATAAATTCAATCATTGCCAGTTTATTGAAACAATTACCTTGGGTAGGAAAACTGTGTGAATACTAATTAATGTTTTTATTCATTTAAATTATTTATTTAATATTCCATTTTTCTTATTTCATTATTTTTTACTTAAGAAAAAATTGGTTTTAATAATTTATTAAATTAAAAACTTTGTATATGATTGTGTTGTCAATGAATGTTTGACTGATTTAATTGCAATGTTATTAATTAGCTATTCAATGTTTTAGGTGCAATTAAACTGCCTGTCAATCAACTTACCTCAGTTCTTTGATGATTGATTAAACTAGAGCAATAATGTATTAACATTTCGTTTATATAACCTGCATTTCTCAGTTGAAAGCATTCTTTCTGAGTGATGTGTCATTCAAAATGAGCTTTTTTCAAATTTTTGGGTTAACCTAGGCATAAGGCGTGAGATCACGTTGTATTCACTTCATTATTTTACTGAATTGTAAATTTAAACTTTCGTGTATGTAAATTTTTGCATAATCTTCTGTGTAAAACGTGCTGCACACACACACACACACACATTTGTACCGTTCTATTTGATTTATCACTTATCACCAGTCAATTTCAAACAAAGATCTACAATTCTTTCTCTTCCTCTGGATTTGCATTTGTTGATTTTAATTTCCTTTTGTATTTCGACCCTATTGTCCAAGTTTTTATTTGGTTTATTAATTAATGTTTCGTCTACTAGCTGTAAAAAAATTATTTTAAACATTTCTCTATTGCAGTAACGAAATTTAAATTGTTAATCTTGTTTAAACGTAAATGTATTTCAAGTTTAATAACACACCTATATAACATGTACATCATGAAAAGTGCTATGATAAACAACAGTGTCATTTTACTTGCATGCATGTGATGTAGATATTTTCAATGGTGAATCCAGAGTGTCAGTCAAAGATTTTTTATCCGGCTCCTCAAAAATTTTCAACTTTGAGTAAAAATTTCTGACTAACTTCTGGTTCAGACTCCCAAAAAATTGTTTAACCTTTGCATCATAAATTCACCTTATTATCACTGCTAAATAGAATATATTTATTATAATATATAAATTTCGACTCCGACAAAGATTTCCGACTCCAACACTCTCTTAGAAACACAAAGTTTAAAAGTTTTTACTGGAGCATTTTCTTCTACGTAGTGGGACTTTTCAAATAAATACCTTAACTTTGATTCTTTAAAAAACGAGGATAGTTTCTTGATTGATTTAAATAAAAAGTGCCATATATGAACATTACCCTCCGATACCGAACCTCCAAAAAACGTCGCTATAACACGATATCCATTGCGTCCTTTGTATAAGTAGATACAAATACAAACCGATAATTACCATAAACCCTTGTAATTTCATATTTTATAGTCACACTATCAAAAATTTATACAATGAACAGTACGATAAATATTTGTTTTAAATAGGCTGGCAGATCGTTTTGAAGATTCTCACGTTTACAACCCGTTTTAATATACTTAAGTTATTTGCATTCACACATGTAACTTAGGTTTATTTCAATTCCTTCGTTTACTTGTGTTCGCATATTAAACATTTACGTTTTAATTCTAAATTTACTCACACGTACGTTCAATTTAGGTTCACTCATGAAACAATAAACACACGTTCATAACTGTTGTTTCTCGTATCATTCTGTAACATTCATTTCGAACGACGAACACTAGCAGCCATCATAATTAACCACCATAATAGCCATCATAATTAAAGAACATAATAATAATAATAACCATCATATAATCACCATCGTATTGGCCATTATAATAAGTCAGCATATTTAACCACCATAATAATAGGGTAAACCCTGCTAAATTTTTATGACAAAACTAATGTATAACGGTTACATAAATTTATTTACAACAAATCTTTTATAAATGTCAAAGTTAGAAAAATTTGTAACTACTAAGCAAAAAAAGAACAATAATGCCATGAGCTGTTAATATCATTTGCGATATGTTTGTCTGCCATTTGGGGATGACCATCTACAACCTGAAAATGGATGCCTGTGATGTGGTGGAGGGTTTTGCCTCTGTTCTTTGCGACTTTTACTGCTGTATATATAAATTAATAAAAATGTTTAAACAATGCAAAGTTTAAATATCAGTTCATGAAATGAAGTGCTAATGATTTCAAGAAATGAAAATCTTCAAACTGTTAGCAAAAACCAAACCTTTTCTTATTTGGTTGCTTGACAAAAGTCCAATCAACACTGATCTTCTGACCACATAACTCTGTGCCATTCAAAGACTGTATGGCAGCCTCAGCCTCCTTGTATGTGCTGTACTCAATGAGTGCATACCCCTTCAAGAAACCAGTTCGACGATCGAGGTTTAGATGCAAGTTCTTTATTTCACCAAACTCTTCAAACTTTTCACGAATGTCATCTTCTTGTGTCTCTTCATTTATGCCTTTTACAAACACAATCCATCCTTCAACAGCTGTTTTGAAAAGTTTTATTTAAAATTTTGTAATAAATATATAAGTTGAATGTTTGCATCATTGAATTTAACATTAAATTTAACATTATCTGACTTATTAATTAAAAAACTTCAAAATCAATATATAACTGATAATATATAACATTGACATCTCTGAGGACCATTCTCCATGTTCATCTCTTCAACTCCAACATCCATGGATTCATATTCATACTCATTGACATATCGTTTGGTCTCTAAACCTGATTAAGTAAAAATTTTGAGTAAAAAAATTGTTATATATTCACAATCATATTATTGTTGAACTTACATTAATTAACTAATGCATTTTATAATAACAAGTATTTATCAAATTAATTCATATTTTTAGTGAAATAAATGAAAACTCAACATTCACCATTTTCAAAACCTCTTCCTCTCTTCTTTTTAGCTCCCTCTTTCAACTTTTGAACACCTTCTGCGGTAAAAACAATAACAAATTGTTAAGTTTAAAGTTAAAATGGAACTTGCACATAAAAGTACAAGTAAAAACTACTAAATTCTATTTTTAATTTTCAAGTGAAAATTTAAAATAATTAAATTATTAAAATTGACGAACCGTCTGCTTCAGCTTCACCATCGACATCAACAAACTCCTTCTCATAGGCATCGATGACGATGGAGCACGACTTCGTGGCGTCCTTCGCTTCCACGTCAACCGACATCAACATTTCTCTGTCGTCAACTGAGTCCGCGCAGCTATTATTAATGCTATTGTTGCTGGACATTTTTTTTATATTTCGAAAATTCGAAAAAACGAAAAATTATTGGAAATATACTAGCGATAATAAACTCGAAATAAAAATTAAGAAAGTCGTTATTTTTCGTCTCGCTCGATCGTCGACACATCGTAAAACTCCGGCCATGGCGTTCCCTTAAATACCATAAAACCAAAACGGCAAAGAAGTAAAACACTCGGTCGTAAAAAATGCAAAGATGGCTACAAGTCCTAGCCAAAGATACTATTTATTTTTAACTTTTACGAATTTTCAGGTATATTTTCGGGTATGATCCTCAAACTATTGCTTTTTATATTATTATTAGAAGCAATTGATAAAAAATCCAGATTACATATATGATATACGTATATTTAATATAGTATTAAATCTATCAAGCCACTAAAAACTAGCGTAAAATGGAGCTTTATTTAAATTCGATATCGGCTGATTCATTCGAGTCACATGAAACGAAGGTACACAGCATGTAATATAATGCGCGTGTTGTACCAATTTTTTGAAGAAAATTTTATTTTGGAATGATTTCTATAGATGATTAAACACAAAAGATATAAATACCAAGGGACGGAAATGTGCTTGCCTTTCCAGCAAGACCTGGAAACCTTAATTTTTTTAAATTAAAAATAAATTTTTAAATTTTTTCCGGGCCTAGCTGTTTGTTGGAATGAATGAGTGTCTAAACTGGAAGATGTTAATTAAAATATAGATTACACTTGAATGCCTTTTACACGTCTAAACCATGGACATTTTTATATCAGTGGTCTAAACCTAGAAATTTATTTAGTCTTCTGCACCCTACGGTTGTTCCATTTTTGAAAACCACCCACCGTCTGCTGTTGGTGTTGTACGCTTAAGTTTGGATAAAAAAGTCAGAAACGGCCGTTAGCAAACGAAATAAAACGGTGCAAACTTTGAGTAATAATAACAAATAAGGAAGTGAGGTCAAGTTTTGGAAAAGTATATACATCAATCGAAGATCGGATGATTGTATTTATTTAATATTAAAGACTTATAATGTAGTGTGGTGATTCAATACAAATTTTATCAATACCTATGAAGAAATAATTTTGAAACAATATAAATTCCTAAAACACTGCAATAATTAAATAAACAACAAAAATGACAAAAAAGTTGATTACCTCACATACGCAATTCATTTAAACTACAAAATTAATAAGTGAACGTAAGTGACATTGGTGAACATAGTTCTTCGGCGTTGTCTTCGAGTTGTAAGGGAGTTGGCTGGCTCTCCTTGCTCACCTGTTCACTTTTCTTACCTCTCAAATCGGATATCTGGCGCAACAAAGCCTTCCCTTCCTCTTTTACCTTCAGTAAATAACGCCGCACTTTTGTAGATCGTAACAAAATTGAGTGAAACTAATTTGATTATTAATAAACTAGTTCAACTTAGTAGACGAAACTGGTATGTAGAGTTAAAAAAATATTATACGAATGAAAAAGAGGACACGAACATCAACAAACTCGATGCACTTCTGGGCAGCATCGAATGCTTCCTCGAGATTCTCTCTCTTCAAGTGGTAGTTGGCGAGAAACTTGTAGGCCTGACCGTGGCCGTCACTTAATAACTGCTTGATGTTCGAGAGATGGTTAGAGATGATTTGTGGGTGATGGGTGCTGATTGAAGATAACTTACTACATCTACATACATATCAATTATTACGACATTAACTGATATATTGCAAAAAGTTATGTAAATAGTTAGCGTGATTACCAAATTAAAATAAAAACGTTTAAGTTAAAAACCAATGTGAAATTATACAAAGTAACGGCTATGCCATAGAATCAATGTACACATGAGATAACGAATTGAAGCTAATGACATGTGACGATATACTGATTTTAAATATCAACAATCAATCATGAAAAAGGATGAGATGATAGACAAACTGTAAGTAGAACCGACAACCTCTTTGGTTTCGTTGATGTAAGTTGTGTATGCTCCAGCAGCCTGCATATGCTCGTTCAATCGCTCGTACAATCTTAACGGAAACGATAATGAAATGACGTGATGATGATGCGATTTGCGATGCGATACAACAACACACGTTTAGACGACATTTTCCCCGAGATCGGGGGTTGCCGCTTGGCTACCTATGATGAAACCAAAATACCCCTCGACGCCATTCTGTCGGATACTGAGGGCCATTGTCACTTCTGTCATCATAAGTAATTTATTTGGCTAATTTTTACGCAGGACGCCCTTCCTTACGCAACCACAGTTATAAGCAGTGGGCCTAACCTTTGATGATCCAACATCACTCACAAGGCAGTGAGGGTCAGTTTAATGTCATAACCAGGCGATTTGCGATGCGATAACAAGACTTGATTATGTAAATGATGGTTTCGAAAGAATGAACCAAACCACATACGACCGAACTGACTAACACATACTGTGTCAACAATTATTAAAATGTCGCTACGCTACTAAACAAAGAGAACAGTTTTTTAATAGTAATACCAACATGTTCATATTTCTAACATAAATTATTTTTTTTTAGAGTGCACAGCACACATTCACGTACGCACCTGGCAAGTTTGATGAGAGCCAATCCCTCGATATCCCCCAGAGACCGGGCCTTCCAGTAACATCTCTTGGCTTCGTGCAATCTTCCCAGGTAGTCGTAAGCCTCTCCCAGAGCAACTGCCATTCGAGAATCATTCGGTCTGATGCAAATTAGGAGAAGATTTTTGAGGAGTGTCGATGTTTTAGACTTAATTAAAAATATCTTATTTAATAAAGTTTTCTTTGAAATTTTCTAATACGGAGCAAAGAATCCATGTAGATTAAATGTAGAATAGACAAAGCTGCATGCAGATCAAATGATAGAAACCTTAACAGGTGAGCCTGTCTGTAGTAGTAAAGTGAGTAGAATGGCATTTTTAGTATTTCATACGTCTGGCCCAGGCCGTACCACGCTCTGTAATCTTTCTTGTTCACATCTGCATGGTATTATTATTATTATTAGTAGTAGTAGTAGTGAATGAAATAAAAATTAGATAAGATCAGAATATCTTTACTTTATTGAACAAAAAAAAAACTTAAAAAAATTAAAAGTTATAATAGAAAGAAGATTGGAATGACAAACTACTTGAGTACAATAATAAAATGAAAAACACCAGAAAAACAACTGCACAGCATCTCAACACACCATCAGAACTTGCATATACAACAATAGAAATGATAGCACAATAACATCACAAAAAAAGCTCACCAATAGCTTTCCTGTAGGCGAGGATAGCGGCAGAGGTGGACTTCAACTCCATGAATTCGTGGCCCATCAGAGTCCAGGCTGACAAATAGTTGGGGTCAAGTTTGATGGCCCTCTGGAAGTACATGACCGCCTTGTCGTGTTGGTTGTGCAAGCTGTAGTAGTTGCCTGTATGTTGGTGAGTTATTGATCCTGATCAATAATTATATTCAGTGTTTAAAAATAAGACATTACCTAACAATCTAATGATCTAGGTTGAAATGTCGATGAAACATATCGTCACAAATCTTCTACGAATAATATTTCAATGATATCTGAATAGTAGGAAGCAACTAACCAATGACACAGCACGTCTCCACACGATATCTGTCAATCTCAGCGCAATGGTGAGCTAACTGAGCGAGTTCTGGTTTCAATTCCTTCAAAATATATTCACAAACTTGTATATTGATTAATTGAAGAAAGCAGGTCAAAACAATATAAATGAAACCAAACAGGCAAAATCTATATGACTAAAAATATAAGAATAATAGAGAACAAAATTATTATTATACTCAACTAGTAAGAAGTTGAATCACAAAATCATAATTAACAGTTCTTTCAAAGACCAAGGCAAAAATATGGTGAAAAAAAGTGAAAAAATTGTGGGAAGAAACCCTAATATAGAGTAGATTAGAATAGGTGTCCATGTTATCCAATCGGAATGGGTCCATCTGCTGCAGTTTGTTGTAGGCCGCAATGGCAAGGTCCACGTCTGAATTCCAACAAATGGAAAAATACGACTTTGTAAGTGAAAAATTCAAACCATAAATGTAAATGGAACAATGCTGAACTAGGCATAGCTGGCATGGTTTTAAATAGAAAAAAAATATTCTGATATATAATATCAACTTTGAAATATGATTTGAAAACGTAAAGTCTATTTACTACAAAACTGAGAGCAATAACACAAAAAAGGATAGTTGATTCGCAATGAAAAAGAATATACAAAACGATGAAGAACAATCATGCATTCACAACCTCTGAGATTATGGTGAGCCAGTGCCTTCTTAGCCAGTATGGAGGTGCTATTCTTGAAGTAGTTGTTCAACAGGAGCTGCAAAAAATTCAACAATTTAAATCGCAAATGCAAAATGGTTATAGTAAACTGAAAGTAGTAGAGTAGTAAAGTGGATTCAGCAAACTCGCAGTAGTACAAAATTGCAGCGTACTAGTTGTACTAAACCAGATGTAGTTAGTTAGATATAGCAAAGTAAATGTAGTATAGTAGCATTTGTATATACTGATTAATCAATATTGCAACAATATTGTACCATCTTCAGATTATTTAACACATACTTTTATACCTGTATACTTTAAGTATAGATGCAAATTGCTAACACACTCTTGAAAGACACAAACCTGGAAGCATTCCAGAGCCTGTTCACTATGTTGAAGTTCCAGATAAAACTGAGCAATGAAGATGTCATACATCCAGTGCGTTCTTGGGATGCTCAGAGATCTAAGCTGTTGTCGTTTTTCAATGTTTTCATGTTACATTATGCATGCAAATGTGTACATGCAATCATAAGGAGGTTGAATCCCGAAACAACATAACATAGCAATTGTGTTACATTTTTAGGTGTGCAAACAAAAATATATAGATTGCAAATAAATGTTGAACGGTAGAATGAGAATTTTAATTTTTTTCTTTCTTTACAACACCTCAATTGTGGAAATTAATTCATTATAGTGAAAATCTTTGAGATGAAAAAATCAAACTTAAATTATTGCAACATCATTCATACTCTATTTTATAATGTCAAATGGATACTTCAAATTTAAGTTCTTGTTTAGAAATACCAACAGCCTGACGATTTGGCACAATTTTTGACAATTCCAGCCAGGCGCCCCAATTCAATGGATCACCGGAAACACACTCTGCAAATTTTTCCATGGCTTCTGTCTGCTTCTCCAACTTTTTTAATACAACACCTAATCTTTGTATGAAAACAAAAAAATATAGAAATCATCAACTGATAAACATTAGAACAACAATGGCAAAAACTTAATTCTACATGATTGATTAGAAAAATACAGTTGTGAGTGATTAGAAAAACACAGTTGGATAAAATTTTGACAACAGTGTAAATTAAATCTGTAAATTCAATCATATATATATATGTAAAATATTGGAAAATTTGCAAAAAGTGTTTGAAATAAAACTAACAGATATAATCCAAAAGAATCAAGCTTGTTTTCTTTGCATTCCTTCGTTAAATCAACATATAAAGACTTAAGGTGGACATCACAATTTAATTCTGGTGCTGTGAAAATTTTTTATTGAGACTTTAGTTACACTAATTTAGTACTAAACTCACTTATTGAAATGTTATTGATAGATTTCTGAATTAGTGAATTTGGTAAGATAGGATATTTGGTAAATTAGGAGAATTCATAGATTAGGATAAAAAATGCAACCAACTAGAAATGGATATTTCATCATCGACTTTCTTCTTTTCGCCAGCCAGATAGATGGAATAGTAATGTAGGAACTTGACGATGTGGCTCTTACAAGTCGATGTGAAGTAGGCAGCCCTGCTGTACTCTTCGCAGTCGAAATAACTTTTTGCTATGATGTATTTGTCGTATTCATCATAAAACTCCTTGAAAAAAATATAATCAACATATTTATTTTTTAAAAAGTTATAAAAATCTAAATTGTTGAGTTATTTGTTTAATGATAAAATTAGTAAAATTAATATGAATATTTTTAATGTTAATTTAGTTTAAAATGTAAAAATGAAAATTGGTGAAAATGAAATAATATCCTAACAGTGTATAATGATGGGTTGATATTTTCATAGACAGTCACGCCAGGCAGTTGTACTTGATCCAATGCATATATCAATTCTGCGTGCCTGTCATTGTTAATTAAATTAGGATGTTTCTAATATAAAATACAATATTGACTACTATTAAAAAGTTAGCTTATGTCTTATCCTATCATTATCTTATTGAGAACTTGTAACTTGTAATATAAGATAATTATGATAAGATTCTCATGTTATTACAAGTTACAAGATAATATACATACAAATACCATGGTCAATTCAGAGGTCTTAACCTTTCAAATTAATGTTTAATTTAATTTTAAATATATGTAGTTAACACTGAAATAACATATAAACATTAAGATTAACATTATAAATTAATTACTTTTATTTTAATTATACAATACATTGATTAATGATTCATTTTTAACAGTAACAGTAGAAGACTGAATAGTGCAGTCCAAAATCAAGATTGATTACTAATTATTTTTTCATTACTTATGATTTTATGAAACTTATATGTTATTTATGATCAGTTATGAAAAAGAAAAATGTAAAATTAAAAAACCATTTGGCTGTCTTTTTGAGACCCCTAAGAGAGCATTGAAGATTAGCTCTGTAGAGTTCCCCCTTTATTTTCTCAATGCAGTAACTGCTGACAACATTCCGATGCAACTCCATCTCCTGACAGCTAACTGATCCAATGACAAACAAACCCAATTTTATTTATTTACTTTTAAGTTTTTAGCAAATTTAAGTTTTTAAACGCTTCCGCTTTTAATCATTTAAAAGTTAATCTACACCATTAACAAATGTCTTAGCAGATAGTTTATGGAACCCTCATGGAATTTTAGAAATGATGAGTACAAATCAATGCTAACAAACTATTTTACACTCATGTACACTACATACTTCATACTTACTTTTCTGTATTACAAAATAACAAGTATTTTTCATATATGTGAAAGAATTATATATCTAGAATTATACACGATGTCTATGAGTTAAATTTTTATAATATATACAAATCTGTATGGCAATAATACATTGACTAATGTTATAGTTATGCTATGTGCAATTTTATTTTGATTGTTTTATTTTCAATTCAAGTAAAACCCGTCGATTTATTACAAAATTACTTCATTGTTTTACGTTTTAGTGTTAAAAAACGAGTACTTCAAAAGTTTAACTAAATGTGGTTTAAACAGACAGTTTTCATTATAATTATTTTTCTTATCTCGCGTATCTTCATCTGAATAAAAATTAAAACGCATCAGCTTTTGTTTATATCAACAATTTATAAATAAAATAATGGAAAATGAAGAATAAAAAATAAAATATTTACACATACAGAAAGATGGACCACTGATTAACAACGAGATAACAAAAACTTTTCAAGTATATATATATATAAATAAATATATATATATATATATATATATATATATATATATATACACAACTAATTTCAATTTAATAGTTTAAAAATTTTTAGCATTCTGTAATGTAACAATGAAAAATTTGACAGGAATATGTATTTATGTAAGAGTTTCTAAACCGTATCTAAAACATATATAGGTATGTACATTGAAATAATTAAAACGTTGTTCTTAATCTGATCGGCATGATTGTGACGTTCATTAATGTAGTGATTGCCATCATTTTCACCATCATTTCCACTAATGACGTCATCATCATCGTCATTCTTGTGGCCGTTAACTGGAACGTTGGAGCGCGTGAGACGCCGTATTGTTCGGAAAACAAAACTGTGAAATTATGGGGTGTACGTGTATGTGTGTGTGTGTTTGTTTGTTTGTGCGATTAATTAAAGTTAATAATTATAATGATAATTTTATAAATAAATAAACATATCATTATTTGAAAAAAAAATTTTTTTTAATGAGAAGAGAGCCAAAAGTATATACATCGAATGCACTTTTCATGCTTTTCCCTGGCGCACTTGTGGCATACCAGACCTGAGGAGCAGTAGCTAAGTTCGTTCACCTCGTCACATCTCTCGCCGATTTCCATGTTCACCTTTGCTGTATGTTTGTGTGTGTATGTATGTGTGTGTATATGTATGTGTGTGTATGTCCGCGTGTGTATGTATGTGTGTGTATGTATGTGTGTGTATGTTTGTGTGTGCATGTATGTGTGTGTATGTATGTGTGTGTGTATGTATGTGTGTGTATGTATGTGTGTGTATGTATGTTTGTGTGTGTTTGTGTGTGTTTGTGTGTGCATGTATGTGTGTGCGTGTATGTGTGTGTGTATGCGTGTTTATGTATGTATGTGCGTGTGTGCGTAGCAACACGTTGGTTTTCAGCACCACCTATGTGTGTGTTTGTGCATGTACAGTACACGTGTGTGTTTGTATCATGTGGGTATGTGTATGTGTGTACTGTTGGTGTATTTGTTTGCCTTGAATGTTGTTATGGAGTTCAATGTTAAGTGACGCGGTTGGAAATTCTAACTGAAATGATTGATTGACGAGGGAGTGACGTAACGCATGTTTTTAGGGATGGGTGGGTAACGCGAGATGATGTGCGATCAGCGAGATGCTAATTCGCTTTATGAACAATTTGTTTAGTGATATGTTATTATGCAATAACATTTATTGCAAATGATTTCTTAAATCAAACCGCTGAAATAACAACAAAAAAATGCAAAACACAAAATTTTTACAAAGACGAAACTGATCAACCAACCTCCAATTCGAAGGCACTTGTACTTGTCACTGTCGGCTCTGTAGCCGGTGGGGCAGACGCAATAGTTGTCGTCACAGAGGGCCCCACCCCCGCAATCGTGTGCCATCGTGCAACCGTGGTCTCCTACGCGCCCTGTTCGTTGATTGATTGATTGGTTGGTTGGTCGGGTTGGGGTAAAAGCGTGGGGGTTAGATTAAATGAGTGAGTGAAAAAGTGAATGACGAATGAATATGTATGTGAGTGAATGGTAAAGCGAGAGAGTGAGCGAGTGTAGAAGAAATGAATTAATTAAAGATCACCTAAATTGAATCACGTTAATTACCGTTTGGAATGATAAATGAGCGTAACTATAAAATAAAGCACGTGATCAATAAATTGAAGAGCTAAAGAAAGAACAAAATTGAACGAACGAACAAAGAATGACAAAACGAACGAACAAAGAATGAATGAACGAACAAACGAACGAAAGAACGAACAAATAAATAAGTCGCAAATTAATTAACATAATTGCCAGCCAGCCAGCGATCGACAGCTGCTGAAGCCTGCCTACGAAACCGCCGCTCTCTTGCACAATTTATGACGCAATCCAAATTAATGCAATGACGTCACATAAAAAAGATGGACGGAAAAATTGAAAACGAAGAAAAATCTAAGAAACAAACAAACGAACGAAGAGACAAATGTAAGAATAAAAGAACAGAAAAATGAAAAACAACCAACGGTTAAAGGTTAAGGGTCTCTTACACTCTTCCCAAGTTTAGAGGATTCAACAGCACGCACAAACATCGCATATAAATACATGCTAAACGATGCATCACATACGAAGCATGTGATAGGCGGGAATCCTTTTTTTTGTCATATTCGAACCCAGTTTCTGCGAAACAGCATCAGGCGACCTTAACCACTAGGCCATCAGGCCATCGCAAACGAACAACAAACAAACGAACAAACGAATAAATGAAAATGAATAAGGAAATGAAGCAAATGAACAAAAGAACGAACAAATAGCAGAACGAATGAATGAAAAATGAATGATGAAGAAGTTCTAAGAAGAGTGCAAGACAACTAACTTTTAAGACATTGTTCATTGTGCGTACGATAGCCATCTCTGCAGACACACGTGCCCGAGTATGACGAACAAAATACCTCATCCATTGTGTATCCAGATACTGCGGTCGGTCGTCATGATAACGATGTCGTTTTTGATGACGATGAAGATAGTAATGATGACGATGAGGATGGTGGTGATGAAAATGAGGATGTGATGATGACGACGACGACGACGATGATGATGACAACGATGATGATGATGAAGACGACGAAGACGATGATGAATAAAGGATGATGATGATAGATGGCAGTAATAAAAGTTTGGACGCTGAGAAACGCTCGCCACCGTCAGTCGCTTATTATTTCAATAAGAAGTAATGATGACGATGATGGTGATAATAATAATAATAATAGTAATGATAATAATAATAATAATAATGCTAATAATAATAATGATAATAATAATAAATGATGTTGATAGATGACAAAGACGATTCATTTGATAATAATAATGATGATAATAAAGATAATAATGAAAATAATGATGATGATGATGATGATGACGATAATGAAGATGGTGGTGGTGATGATTTTGGAAAAATATTCTAGTGACAAGAGTACATCAACAATCTACGGAGCGACCGACATGCTTATAAAAGCGTTAAACCCTTCGAGACCGAAGTAACATTATTGATGGCTCCAACTTTACTGACGACGACAATGATGATGATGGTGATGATGATGCTTGTGAAGAAGATGATGATGATGATGTAGACGATGATGATGACGATTATGACGATGTAGACAATGATGATGCTTGTGACGATGATGATGATGATGATGATGCTTGTGACGATGATGATGTGGATGAGGACGATGGTGATGATTGTGACGACGACGACGACGACGATGATGATGGAGAATAGGATGATGTAGACGACGATGATGATAACGATGATTTGATG